CTCATTCTTTACTGTTCCCAAATGTTAAATGAGCTCTCTGACAATGAAAATTTGTAAGCATTTTGAAAAGAAGGCACCTACAGAGGGCCCAAGGGGAAAAGCATATGATGAGCACTCACCTTGCATTGGGGAAGTCAGAGCATCATGGTGACAAGATGTGCAGAGTTTGCAGCCAGACACACCTAAGTCTAGTTCTGACTTTTTCTCCCAGGAGAGGAGTTATCTTAGGCAGACTGCTTTGTCTATCCTGAGCTTTAGTTTCCTTCATTGGAAAATTAGAAGATCGAAAGCCAGGCACGATGACCAGTTATTGTATAAATCCATTAATGTGAAGTATCTAGACTCAGCAAATCCATAGAGACAGAAAACAAATTCAGGGTTTCTAGGAGCTAAATGGCCAGGAGGGATGAATGAGGAAGAACTCTTAATTTGTATCAAATTTCTTTTTTGAGTGATTGAAATGTCCTAGAATTATATAGGATTTGATAGCTGTGCAACATAGTGAGCTATTAAACACCATTTATTTGTGTACTTTAAAGGTAGCAGTTTTCTAGTATTTGAATTGCAATCTTAACTTCAAGAAGAATTTTGGTGAATAGCTCATGAAAATATTCTTCTGCAGTACTTTATAGGGTACCTGGATGAAAGAAGGCTGCAATAAGTGCCGACTGTTTGTACAGCGATCACATAATTTATCAGCCATACTTGGATGCTTTTAAGGTTGACAGGGGCCACTAATAATAACTACAGTTTCACGTTTCACAATAGGTATAACCCAGGATTGTCTTGAACAAACCCTGCTGTGTGGTCACATAGCTCTTAGCATTTGGGCAGCTTATAGGGTCTGTTTTCACAGAAGTGGTATTTCCTTGTGTTCTCAGAATCTGGAACACTTGGGCTCACCTACATGATTATTTTCTTTCCCCTAATAGTAATGAATGCCGGCTGGTCATTCCCACACTGGCAATTGAATGATCGAATGATCATTTGCTCATTACAGTCCTGTGATTCCATTTCCGCATGTATGGGCTATGATGGTGAGAGCAGAGAACTGCTTCGCCAGTCTTACCCCTGTCCTCATCACTTTAACATTTCAAAGGTCCACCTCACCCCTCCTTTAGCATATTCCTCTGTTATCTATTCTCTTGTCTGGGTTCTTTTGGTTATGTGATCTTCATGCTGTCTATACTCTAAGCTTATTTTTGAGCCACTTGCTGTTGTCATTCTGTATATACCATTACCCAGTATGACCCTTTCCACCTTCTTTTCAATTCAGTTCACATTGTTGAGACTCTACTTTGTGCAAGGTGCTTTCCCACTGTGCATTAAGACAGATATGAGCAACATAGGCATTGCTATGAAAGAACACATAGACTGACAGGCAATGTGGGCACACTGATAATCTCAGCAATGTGAAGGGGCAAGTGCCTTTGAATAGGAATGTATGCATGGTCAGTATGAGCTCTCATCCACAGTGCACCTACCTGCCCCTAAATCGGATAGTACATAACACAAGGGACTTCCAGCAGAGGGGACACCCAACAGTACACAGAGCAAGAACTGGTAAAAACAAGGAAAAAGGAGTCTCAGAAGCAACAAGGATTAGAAAACCGTGTCTAGACAATGATCCATCAAGCAATTTGCTGTCGTTAGGAAAGAAAGTGAGATTCTGTAGTTGCAAAGGTAGGCAGGAGCCATGCACACCAGAGAGTTTGCTGGCACATGAAGCCAAGCCCCCAAATGTGGGCTGGGGGAGGGGGAAGCAAAAGACATGAATGGCTTTAAAAGAGATATTGACATGGTCAGAATCTCATTTTAAAAATATAAGGCAGGAAGTAGAGCACAGCTCCCCAATGTATACATTCCATATGCATCCCTTGGGGTATCTTATTCAAAAGTAATCTGATTCAGTAGGTTTGGCTGAAGCCTGAGCATCTGTGTTTCTTGATGCTTATGGGGCCTCTGGTGGAAGAAATGCTGCCTGGGATAATCAAAGGTGGAAGGGATGGGGCAAACTGGTGGCAAGAAGATGCTTTGGGGTACCATCATAGTTGTGGAAGGTGAAGATGATAGATGTGAAGTAAGGTCATAGGCACGACAACAAAGAGCCAGATGTAAGACTTAGCACTGTAGTGGACACAAGAGAGCAGAGGCAGAGAAGGAGGAAAGAGTTTAACTGCTGCTGGCATTCTCTTTGCGAGCCATATGGTCTTGTCTCCTGCCAGGGTAAGGGTATGCAGACACAACAACCAAACTTAGGCACATTTTGCAGTCTACTGGGTTTTTCTTTTCATTTTTTTTATAATTAAATATGTGCCTCTGTGTGTGTGTGTGTGTGTGTGTGTGTGTGTGTGTGTGTGTGTGTGTGTGTGATGTATAAATGCGTGTACCCATGTCCCTCCCTCCTTGGATACTCACTATTCTTTGCACCAAGTCTAAAAAGACAAACAACCTTTATCATATCTTATGCCCTCTGCTGGCATAGTGACAAAATAGCTAACCCTCTCCTTTATTCACTCTGCTTTTAAAGTAGCTAACTCTACCTGATATTTTTCTTTCCTGTTTCCTGGGATGAATTTCAGAGTTTCTTTGTTCCCTATCTCTTTGTCAGCTGACCTAGTCCACCCCTCTGGAACTGCTCCAGATCAGCTGCCTTCACCACGGCAGTATAATCACATTGTATCCTCTTGGAGACTGTTGCGACATTGTTCCTTCTGGCTACTCTGTTCCTTTCAGTTTCTTGAACTTCTTCATTCCTGAGCCAGGGCAGTGGTTCTCAACCTTCCAAATGTTCTGATCCTTTAATATAGTTCCACATATTGTGGTGAGTCCAACAATACAATTATTTCATTACTACTTCATAACTGTAATTTTGCTACTGTTAAGTACTGTAATGTGCCAGGTGGTATTGATGCACGCCTTTAATCCCAGCTCTCTGGAGGCAGAGGCAGGTGGATCTCTGTGAGTTTGAGGCTAGCCTGGTCTACAGAGCAACTTCCAGACAGGCTCAGTAGTGAGAAACCCTGTGTGAAAAAACAAAACAAGAATCATAACGTATATATCTGATATGAAGGATACCTAATATGACTCCTGCCCAGAGGGGTCATAACCCACAGGGTGAGAATTGTTTCCATATAGCATTTTTTGGAACCCAGAGCCAAGCAGAGAACTCTGGGTAAAGGCTGGGGCATGTTCTAAGTAGAACAAGAGGTTTGAAGATACTTCCGCACCTGGCCTTGTTTGGTGCATTTCTGAGTTAAACAGTGTTGTCACCAGTGAGGCTTTCCTTCAGTCTTGTCCTGTTCTCTCCCTTCCATCTTTGTCTGCCGAGAAACAACCGTGGCAGGCACTTCATCCATACTGGACCTCACGGCCCCTGAAGAGAGAAAGCCTTCTCATTTCTTAGCCTCTACTGACCCAGGAATCTAAGGACGCCTTGAAGATTAAATTCTAGTACTGCCTCTAATTAAAAAAAAAAAAACACTTTCACTTTTTCATCAAAAATACAAATACTCTGGGCCCCGACTTGTAACTAACCCTGATGCCCTGAGCTGGATCTCAGGGACCAACACCGTAAAAGAAAAATGGGCTGCCTTGAGTTGTGCACCATGGCAATGTACAGGCGTGTGAATGTGCACTCTCTATCTATATCTCTCTACCTACAATCATTAAACAATGACTTAGTTAATAAATTCATAAATATTTCTTAAAGCTCTAGAGAGGCTGAGTGAGCAGTGGAGATTAAAACTATTAATTCTGATACTGCAAGAAGTGTGGCATACATCTTCCTATTATCAGACGCAATCTAATTTCTAATACGTTCTAAGAAGTAAACGGAAAAGAGAAGGGGGATTCATACTGGGGAAGCTGCCTAGAGATGTAGGCAAGGTGGCTTCTTTAGGGCAGGGCAGAAAAGCGTCCCCTTCTAAGGGTTCATTCCTAGTAAAAAGAGAACTGCCAGAGCCTGGAGAAGTTAATTAGCAGGCGGTAGCAGCTCCTTCTAAAATGGAACGCTGCTTAGCAGGCAATCTTGTCTTTTAGCTTTTGGTGACCAGCAAGATGCAGTTAGTTGCACATAAAACAACAAAGGCAAAGTAGGAAGTCGACAGAGGCCCCTTTCCCCTGGACCCACTGGACTCAGCCATAAACCCTGGAGGGAAGCAGTTTAACTAGGTACTTAAGATTTCCTCATGGGGGCAAGGAGAGAGACCGAGGCTTAGATTTGCTTGTGCCTGTGTGAAATTCACACCAAATTACAAGCACTTTTCATTTGGTTTTGGAAAACACAAAGCTGTTCAAAGTGCTGCATGTGTGAAAGATGGGAGCCTTCAAATTGCTCAGGATTAACCGCTCAGAGAGAGTTCCGGCCATGTGACTTTCACTGTCCTGGGGGGTCCTGGAGATTCAATTGAGCAGCTGCCTATCACTCCTTTGCCCTGGGCCATATTGATGCTGAGAGAAAGCAAATTGCAAAGAGAACTGTGGGATTCCACAGTGTAGTATCTGATAGGTGATACTTTCTGGCAGGCACCTTTTGAAAGCTACATGGGAATGAGAAGGCATCACTGCCCGGGGCTTTACAGAGGCCTGGCAGTGACCTGGACAGGGTGCATCTGATTCAATGCTCTAGATTAGTTGCAAACTGACTCTCACCACTCAGTCACCCTTTATACTAAGAGGAGAAAAAAGGGGGAAAAAAACCAACCCACAAGATTACCACCCTAACAGCAGCCATGCCCCCACTCCTGGGACATTGAAATTATCATGCTTGTACTGGAAAGACTGCTGCAAAGTGACAGGGTAATAGCAGCATTCTCAAGACAGAGCTCCCAAGTCGTCTCAAAATTACTAGCTACTCTGGGCAATTAAAACAATTATAATTGTTTGTTTCCATGAAGTGCTTAGCACTAAATCCATGCAGTGCGCATGAGGCACATCCAGATTCCAAATGGTTGTTGGAGCTTTCGTCTAAACTTGAAAGCAATTCTCTATCAACTTACGAGGTACAACAGGACACCACGGAAGCCATTCGAAACTCCGCACTCCAAAGCCTCCTTCTGAGAGGGTGGAGGCTGAGAGCCAGCCCAAATAAGACACTTGCCTGGAGTGATCAGAAAGTGAGGAGCCCACCTAGGAATGGGACCCGGGACTGCTGGTAATGTGTTCATGTTGGGCCACCAAGCTGTCCTTTATAAAGAGAAAACTCACAGCTAAGCATATGAAAGATAAGAAAGAAACAAGCAAGGTCTCATGAATGTGCTCTGCTACTGAGCTGTGCCCACATCCCAACATCTGAATGCCATTCCTCTGGGTTCCTCTTTCATATTCAGTCTGACTCCCTGACACCATCATCCTTTGTCACCCACCTTCCTCACCTTTGTGCTCCTGTATTGTTGATTCTCCTTTCTTTTCCCCTGCTTATAACTCTGGTGCCTCTCCTTTTCCATGACATCCTTCCTCATCTGCCGCTGGTTCTGATCTCTTCCCTCCTGGAATCGACTTTGCTCATTTTAGCTGAACAGCCCAGCTGGACTGTGAGCTGAGTGCAAGCCATGGTTGTTGTGACGGGCTGTGAATTCCCACAGAGCCCCATCCCTAACATGTTAGGAGTGCTAAGGAAAATTGTCTCCCCTCTTCTCTGTCTCTGTCTCTGTGTGTGTAATGATGAAGCAGGCCAGAGAATGTATGGTCTTTGGAGAAAGAATCCAGGATGGCCTTGAACTCACAATTCTCCTACTTCACTCTCCTCAGGAAAACTAGTAAAATCTGGGTGGGTGAAGGAATCATAGTTGAAATTTACTTTTTATTATTATTATTATTTTCAATGACCAAAAATGTTGGTATTTTTTGTAATTAGCTTAGTTTCTATCATTTCTGGAAACTGAATATAAAATTCTTTTAATTGAGAAAAATCCCTTCAGGGGACTCTGGGTGGCACAATGACAGATCAGATGAACTATCATTCTCTTTCGGGGACAATGTGTCTCATTCCTTTATTCTTTCAACACCCTCCCATTAGCCAGGTGTATTTGCTTGTTGACAACTGAGGACCAAACTAAGGGAGCAGTTCTATACCCTGGAGCAGAAAGCCCTTGCCTCTGTCTCATTTGGACTCTTTCCAAGTACCACACTCATGGAACTCATTTAAGGCCGGCCTGTCGTTCACTCCTTTGCGCTTGAGTTCCTGAGCCCAGAGAATCTAGTCTATTCCTATGGGTTTGGCTGTTTGGTGCTGACTTGGATAGAATATAGCAGCTACTTGGTATCCAGTTAGCTTTACTTGCCTCTGACTGGATGCTGCATATGGTGTGCACACAGTGGGTGCCTTGTAAGGATCTGCTAAACCTGGGCCACTGAGGTCTAATTTCATTCCAGAGCCTGCCTGTAACTTCCTGCTCCCCTCCTTGAAGCCTAAACGGGCAGTTAAACAGCCTGAGGACTGGCTCATGCTTGAGAGGTTGGTTGAAAGTAGCCCAGACTCTACAACCAGAGCCTAGGGGTAACACAACCTTCTCAGCCTGGGTTTGGTCCCATCACGATTGACCTTTGCCATTTCCCACCTCACCATTTCAATACTGGCACTCTACTGTAAGCGAGTGTATCAGAACTCAAAGTTGCTGTCTAGAATTCTCTAGTTATACCCAGGGGCAAGCACGGTCCCGTCCAGGGCAGTTTTAATTCATATATTTCCTTTAAATACTACATGTCAAAAAACCCAATGCACAAGAAAGAGGGAGCATGATTTGACTTGCAAAATGTGACACCGTGGGGAAGCGGAGAAGACTGTCTAAGTTAGGAGTAATGTTCAGTGGGAAACTTGATCCCAATAGATGCTAACCTTCAGGTCTCAAAATTTAGCCATCCCCAATACCTTTCTCTTTTGATTGCTTAGGTGGAATTACTTCTGTAGAAGGATCTGGTTAAGCTGACTCACTGCTATTTATAAATCAAAGCCAAAGATATTCTCCTCCTCTGAATGTTAAATTTGACATTAGCTACTCCACATTGTTTCAAATGCAGAAATGTGTTCCTGGTGCATCCACACAAAGACTTCCGGGGCCTTTGTGGATTATTAGAGTCCAGATGACCTCTCTTCTTTGTTGTTCTCTACAAGAGCCTAAGGCAGGGTGCTTATCATTTCTGGTTATCTCCATTTCAAAGAGTCAGTGAAGGCTTACTGAAATCACACAGTTACACATCTGCATAGAAAAAAATTGATACTCTACTATGTAAATTATGTGTGCTTCATCCCTCCTGCCTGAAGATTTTGCTTCCTAAAAGCAGCAAACTGGCATTTGGTCTGCTAACTAACCCATCTGAGCTGGGAGTAGCTACCTAGCAGCTGAAAGTATGAATAAAATTCTCTCATAGATTCGTATTTATTGAACATCTACTATGTCCCAGGTTAAGATTGCTAAGTCATCACATATACTTTGCCTTTACAGAATTAACAGACCTCATTTTGTCTGGACTTATTCCTACCCACCGAGAGGCCCCCATGAGCAAAAGCATCGTTCTTTGTGTCCCCGTGTAATGCTCAGATGCCACATACCTTTTCAATGTCTCAGAACTGTTTACATTGCTCATCTGCCCTGTGAAAGCTCCCTGAGCACCCACAGAAGACTGCTTTCTTAAGCTATTGTCTCCTACCAGTTGCTGGCTATTATCTGCACCAGCACTCCCTACACCCATGATAGCTAACTCCCACAAAGTGGCTCTAAAAAGACAGGCCTTAAAGAATAGGTAAAGTGATCAAACTTATAGGCTCTTCACACATACCACCACCCCATCCAAAGCTTGTTTCTACTGCTTAACTAGATAGAGACAGTTTAGTGCTAGGAATTGAACACAGGACCTTACACGTGTGTCTGGCAAGCAGTCTACCATTGAGCTACATTCCTAGTTCTTTTTAGATTTGAGTTTTAGGCAAGATCTTGGTAACTTGCCTAGTCTGTCCTTGAACTCTCTCTGTGTGCCCAGGTAGGCCCTGAGCTTGAGATATCTCTTCCTTATCCTCCCAAGCAGTTGGAATTAGAGGCATGACTAGTCTGCAACCTTGAGCATGTTGCTTCTGTACCTCTCCTAGCTGCTCATCCATTAAGTAGGAAAGTTGCTAGCACCTATTTTACTGTGGATTTCATTAGAAAAAATGTGTAGAATTCCTAGCCTAATACCTAGAACACAATCAACATTTTTTAAAATACATACTAGCTATTATTATTATAATTTAGGTTGGAAAAGAGTTCAGGGGTTACTGTGGGCTAGTGAGCAATGGATTGGTGTTTAGGAGCAGGTACCTGGAACATCTGTAGGGCACATGACTTTGCTATAAGCAGCTTTACCACCTGAGGAGGAATACCTATTGTGAGGCTGATGCAGAAAAGACTTTATAGTGCAACTGTTTTAAATTTATTATTTATAAATGAACAGGTAAAAATTACACATATTTATCATGTATAACATGGCATTTAAAATATGTATACACTGTGGAATGATTAATTTGAGCTAATTAACGTATGCATTACCTCACATATTTATCACTGGGACAGCTTTTTAAATGAAGTTTCCCTTGTTTTGGTTCTGTATTTGGCCTTATTCCAAAGCAATATGTGCTTATTAAAACATCGGGGCATCAGGCACGATGATGCATGGTGGTACAGGCTTTTAGTCTCAACTATTTAGGAAGTCCCAAGTACTTAGGAGACTCACCTGAGTCTAAGGATTCCAGATCAGCTCTGGAAATACAGTAAGTTATTATCTGAAAAAAAAAAAAAACGGATAAAGAAATCTGGAATGAACTGGGTATGGTGATACACATCTGGAGAATCAGCATTTGGGATGTAGAAGCAGGAGCATCAAGAGTTCAAGACCACCCTCAGCTATATAGTGATTTCATTGAACTTAAAGGTAACATGGGGTAGATTAGACCCTCTCTCAAAAAGAAATGAGGAAAAAAGTAAACAGAAAAGAAGAATTATGCATTCATAGTGTCATCAGCCAATCTAAGGACATTATAGTAAAGCTTTTTAAAGAATTTTCAATGTATGTCACCTAATTCTTTAGTGACAAATTTTAAAAAGCTTAGTACTGTATCCTGAATGCCATGTAAGCTGTCTTCTCCTCTTAGTGATTGCAAACAAAATGAAGATAAATATATTTGCACAGAAAGAAGTATACACAGCCTTAACTGTGCCCCTAGGATACATTTTCCCAGAAATTCAATTTCCTCAGCCAATTTAGGGCTGTTTGGGTTGTTGTTGTTATTGGTTGTTTTAGCATTGCTTGAGACACAGAGCTAAATAAAATTGACACGTTTTAAAATCCATTTTCAAATGCTGAACTCCAACTACAAGTTGCCAAAAGGAGACATTCATGGTAGTGAGTGACTTTGCTCGTTGTCAAATAGTGACTGGATTTTCTGAGCCCACAATGGGCAGTGCTGCAATCAACACATTGCCTTTAGCTCCTTGCTTGTCTTTACATGTAATTGTATGACCTTGGGCTCGTATGTGACCTTGCTGAACGCTTATTTCTTCATTTGCCCGCCCCCCCCCCCGCCCTTGTTTCTCTCTACTGCCTCCACTTTCAAAATTCCAAGCACTCTCTGCTCTCCATTCAGACTCTGCCAGCCTGAGAGCACTCCACGCACCTACCCTGACTTCCTCCTTTGTCTCTAAATCATCCTCAACTCTGATCACTCAACCCCCAACTCCTCAGCACATGCGAAAATAATTAGCACTGGTCATTCAGGGCTCAGGTCAGACACAGCTTCCTTTCAAGAGCCCCCAGTGACCACCTCCACGGTACCGGGGCAAAGCCTATTCCGGTAGATGTCTTGTGCAGGTTCCGCAGTATGTGCGTTTTGAAGTCTTCTACCAAGCTATGAACTCCTTCCCAGCCACTGCGGTACCTGGAACTAGTAAGAACTCCTAAGTTCCTGTGAAATGAATGATAAATGGATGAAGGTGTGCAACAGTTCCCGTCTTCCAAACTTACTAAGCGGTGACTGTTTGAAATAAGTGGGACCTCCAGGAGCCTCGGTAGGAGAGGAAATGAATGGTATCTCCTAGCCTCGAAGGCAGTTGACAGTAACTCGGTGACGGGACTTTTCAATCATTTAAAACATCCTGAGTGTGGAGCTCTGGAGAACCTTTGTCCTTCCCTAAGTCTGCTGAAAGGTGAACCTCATCTCATCATCGTAAAAGGAATCTCTGAGGACAAAGGGCTGCTTGTTTAAGACAGCTAAGCCCTACGATTAGCACTGAGGCGCCATGCCTAAATGCTCCAAGGGCCTGGGGTCAGCCCACTCTAGACAAAACCCATTTTCTGGCCCCACACCTTGGACCCAGAAGACAGGGAGGAAGTTGGGGAGAGAGAAAAAGAGGGAATAAAGAAAAGTGGCCTGCAAAAAGACTCTGGTGGCGTTGGGGGCAGGGGTGACAGCATGAGCTTTACCTAGCACTGTTTTAAGCAGACAAGCTATGCATTGGCCAGTTTCACAGCCTGCAGAAATTCTCCCCAAATGCCTGCCACCTTCCCAGAGTTCCTAACCTTGCAGCCTTCAGCAGATCTATCAGGAGTGCTTTGTCCTAATGGCCTATGGACCCTACCTCCTGGGGTACAGATGAACTCTGAAGGCTGGGTCTCTCAGTGATAGAAATGCTCTAACCAAATGTTTTCCAGCTCTGTCAGTCAGGACCAAAACTGTTGAGTGACACCAACTATCACAAAGGCTAGCACTGCTCTCTGACACTTGGCTGGCAGGCTTCAGCAGGCCCTTATAGGACATAGCTGGGCTACTCCTGTTACCCCTAGTTAGTTCTGACCCCAGGGCCATACCCCTTTGACCCCCAAGACATTGGACTCCCCTCAGTCACTTTGAAACTTTTCTTTCTCTGTTGTCGTTTGTCAACTTCATTGTCTTAAAAAGCGCACAACGTTCTTAAGACTGTGACATATTTGTGTGTCTGACAGGTCAGACAATGTTGAAACACACAGGACTGCTATTCCTGGAGAAGAGAGAAATGCATACAGAATTCATAGGACTCTTGCTTGTTTGTACCAGAGTGCCTGGTGAAGAGAGGGGAGCCTCAGCTAGGGCTCCTCAGCACCAGGCTGGCAGGAACAGCAGGCAGGGGCCCTGTGCTCTGATGAGAGGTGAGAGGGTGACAAGGCCTCGCTAGCTCAAACGCTTTATTGAGGCTCTCACGAGTGCAGACTTGAAGAAACATCCCACCACCACCACCTGACTCCAAAGCCAGTTCCCCTGTCCTCTCCCCATAAAGCTGCCTTCAGATCTTCTTGGGACTGGTTCCCTCCTCCTTCCAGCTGTGGAGAGTGAGGAGGCTGGGGAGGGGGAGGGGGAGTGAGGAGAGGGGAGGGGACAGCAGGCCAGGCCTCTCCTCAGAATTCTGGCGGGAAAGCAGCCTGGCAGCCTCCCTCCAGTTGAGGGGGGTGGGTGATGGTGGGATGAGCAGAACCCAAACCACACTTGGCCTGCTGGCTGCCTGGCAGACAGAACACAAGCGTTTTCTTTCTTTTTCAGTTCAATTTATTTTCCGAATCCATAAACCTTAGGCTGGGAGGGCAGGCGAGAGAAAACTCAGTTCAAACAAAAGTGTTCACCGGGTAGCACTGGCCCCCTGTAATGACAAATAAACCCCTGGCAAGGACACTGCTAATATTGGCTAGGCTGGGGCTTTACCATTCCAGGCCGATTTTCTGTGACCTGACCTTCCAAGTTCCTTCCTTTGGCCTTCTTTTCACAAGTTGGGAGAGGTAGTGAGCTGCTCCAGTCTGTCTGTTTTTCTATCAGCAAAACTTTGAGTTTTGAGGACCCAATATGGGGAAGTCTACATGGGTCTTAGGGGCAGATTACAAATTTCTGAAAACTTGGGTAACTTCACTGCTCACAACATAATTCCAGAGAAAGTCTGCCTAAATGCACAGAGCAGCCAAGAGTCTGAAGCTCAAGAGTCTATGACCGGAGTCCTGGTTCACCTATTAAGCAGCAGTAGAATCTTGGGAAACTTAAGCTCTCTGTGCATCTATTTACATGCCTGTATAAATGGACAGGAGCGTAATATTCCTGACCTCAACAGCTTGGGCTATTGTTGCTGGAACATAAGTCTCCAGATGTCTGTTCAACATTTAATTTTGGATGGACCAGTGAAATGGCTCAGTGAGTAAAATCACTTGCCACCAAGCCTGATGACCCGATTTCAATCTCCAGGACCCATATGGTGGAAAGAGAGAACTGATTCTTTCAAGTTATCATCTGACAGCACGTGTGCATCACGGCATATGTGTGCATCCACACAAACACACAACACAAACAAAAGTAATAAGTAAAAGTTTAATAATAAATGACACTCAGAGTCACATCCACGGGCCTCAGTGTAGACTTACTGGCTCTGCTCTATTACAATTTGTAAGAACTCTGTGGAGTAGGGACTAATAATATTCCCTTTTATAGATGAGACAAAACTTGAGTGACAGAGAAGTCATAGAACTATACTAGATAATGACACTGTATTTGATTCATGTAAGAATTATGCAACATGGAGCATGTAGAACATGTCTAGATAAGACAGTTGGTCGACCTATCTATGGCAATTATTCAGCAATATTGTTGCTATTATTGACTGGGTTAGCATCATTAGCAGTTATGACCATTTACAATGTGGGCAAGTGCAACGGGTTTGGCTGTTGCCATCTACTTCCTCAAAGGAAACCCTGCATTATGTCAAGTAATACCAGATAATTATTATTGACCCTTGTAGTATTAATGACCTAAATCCCATGGGAAGAGCAGGACAAATTAAGCACTCCCTGAAAGCCCCAGGGGAAGTGAGGAGCTAGGGGAACAGCTTTGCTCAATGGAAGTGGTTGACAAGTTCAAGGATTCCCAAAACAAATTCCAACTTGGGGACAGAAGACTGTTGTGTTGCTTTGTAAAGGGTAGAAATGGCAGTTCTATGAACAATGAATGGGAGGTAAACACGCTTTAGTTCCTGCCCTGTGCCAGGAACCTTACATCTGCTATCCCATTTATTTTCCCATTGGCCTCCCAAGCTGGGTGCTATGACTATGGCCATCTGACTGCTAAGAACACGGGAGATGTGACTTTCCTGAAGTTCCTCTCAAAACTGTAAGAGCTGAGACTAGAATTAAGGTGGAACCAACTCCAGATACATTTCATCCCATAATTCCATCAATAAATCAAAATGGAAAAAGTATTGTTGTCACCCTTAGTGTACTCTGCTCACTCTGTTTTTAGTCAGCTAGAAACATGAAGATTATTTGCATTCCTTCTCACCGGATCCCTTCCCACTTTCCTTCCATGTCCAAACAGAAGTCATAAAATGGTTCTAAAAGTTCTGCTTCTTTAGCATCTCTTGGAACCAGCCTCTTTCTTGTCTGTAATCTGCATTCACACTTTATAGGGGAGTGGAAAATAGGTGTGGGGAACCCTCTACCTCTTGCAGTTCTTGTGTGGGCCCTTTGGCTGGTTACAGAAACCCCATCAACACACTAGCTGGCTAAATACATATGTTAGTTGTTAATTTTACATGTACATGGAAGTCTTCACAACAGAGAATTCTGAAGAAATGATCAAAGCACAGAACACTTCTACTATTTAGACAAAGAACAAAGAAGCTATTGGTATCTGGACTAGGGTAGTAAATTCTAGGGCCATCCATGTAGATATACATGGCAGTGGATGTAATCACTACTGGAAGATAAGGGTTTGTTTACTCAGAGTTTGTTTACTCAAGGTCACTGAAGCCTTAAGGACCAGTCTCTTGTGACCAAGGCCATTTTCCAGCTTTGGTAGGTGAAGGCCATCCCTCCTGAAAGATCACAGGTCAAATGGCCTTTCCCAAAGTTACATGTCCTCTATTGATTTCAGCTTGACATAATCAATTGACCAGTCTGGTTTATTTCGAGATTAGATGTTGTTAACTTCTTCAATCCTTATCAGGGCTAGAATACTGATGTTTGGGCTTATATTTGTTAGAAAGTGCTTTGCCCATTTAAAATTGGAGCTATTAAACTTGATACTGTCACCCAGATTCTACCTGCTATCTCAAGTTCTTAGCACACAGCTTTTATTAAATATCAGTTGAGCAACTACATAGATAATTCAATAAACCAACAGGTGCTGGTGTCCTCACTTTCTGAGCTTGATAGACTCCCCAATTCTCCATCACCTTCAGAAGACAGATCAGACTCATCACAGGTAGACTATATTGCCTGGACAATGTAATCATTATTGAACCTTGATTTTTCAGTCAATCCCTACCTTCCTTTCAACTCCATCTATCACACTATCCCTTTCCTTCTGCGAAAAGACCATGTTCGGTTCTCCTCTACATACGTATCTTCATATTTTCACCATTGCCCCTTCATTCTAGCTCCCACTTTTTACTCTCAGTGTACTCCTACTCAACAACCACCTTAGCTTATTCTTTGAGGGGAAGTTTCCTGGTGTTTTTAAGTCTAGGTTTTGGCAGTTGTGAGTCAGCTGAGATTCAGATAAGCTCCTCAAGGCTCCACAGCTTGTAAGTGCGGATTCCAGTTTATCCCGGTTTATCAGACTTCAGATAAACATTATCACGTTTACGTTACTCCTCACAACAACTCAAGATCAAAGAGGATACGTGACTGGCCTAAGATTACAGGTTTTGTAGCCTAAAATCCAGGTGCATTTAATTATACCAGAGCAATCCCTGTCACTGGAGTTGGAAAAACATAGCTTTGTAATGTGGGGAAAGAAACTGTCCAATTCACTGTTGACCAAATTACGAAAGTCCCCTCATCACTACAAATTGGAAAAGATACCCCTAGACAAGTATTTGTAAAGTAAATTCCACTGCTGATTAAAAAAGAAAGTCACTAGGCAGTTCTTTGCTTTTCCATTTGCCTTAGATAATGCTCAGTCTAGACATTCCCTACCCTTTGTCTCTGTTAGCAAATGAGACCTAGTGGCCTTTGTTGTGGACTCCTGAGGGTATCAGATGAGCTGATTCACTATGTCGTCTTACTGTGTAATCACTGGGTGGCCTGCAAGATTACCTGTAAGAGCAGAGGTATTTCAACCTCTTGTTTGGATGTTAGCATCTAGAAACTATCAAGCGAAATGTGGTTTAGAAAATCCAAAAACAATAACTTTAATGAAGACAAGAATGCAGCAGAGGAAGGGAGTGTGTGGACATCAGACCAATTGTGGTGACCGGACAGCTGCTCTATAAAGCTCTCCGTGCAAACCTAAATGGAACAAACAGCTCCAGGTATAAGGAAGTTGCACTGTACAGACACTCATCTCTCCTACTGGTGTGTATATGGCAGTGTATTGGGATTCGGAATCAATGTCCAAACCAAAGCTCTATTGTCACAGCCCAGGAAAGTATAGTGTTAGTCATACCCTTTATTTCTTCTTTTTTTTTTTCTGGCCCTTTTGTAATCACTCGTTAAACCATGTGTTACTCTCATCATTCTAAAAGCTACCCTTGATCTTCTAAGGATGTTAACAGAAGACCTAAGGTTGATGCCAGAAGTTGACAATGATCAATTTTATGAAATATATATGGGAAGTTGACAAACAAGATGAAGTTCTCACTGTGTGTGCCTTCTTGGTTCATGCTTTTGCAGGCACATTCTGATGGTGCTGAAGTTCTCTGCCTTGCCCACACTCCCTTAACACTCTTGTAAAATCAGTGGAAACAGCTGACTAATATTTTCAGACTCTTCATCTGTACAATCAACACACATTGCCTTAGAGCAAAAAAAAAAACCCCATCAAACAAACAGGATGTCTCTGGAGCCAGATGTTTTTCCTAATAATCTAACCAAAGGGATTAACAAGCTAAAGAAAGAATAGGACAAAGCACTAATCACATGGACAATTCAACAATGGGAAAAGGCGTCACCCAGGCCAAGTTAGTGCCCTTGCTTCAAGGAACTTTACCTACCCCTGTGATAGGGTCATTTGTGCACAGAACAGGACCTGGACTTCCAAGATCCTCAATAATAATTTTAACTAAATAGTTACATTAATGAACGAGTAATGAACGAGTGTCAATAACAGGGCTTTGGTGGCTACAGATGACTTACCAAGCTGTTAAACATCAGAGCTGCATATCGAGTTCCTGAGACCTGACTTTCTGACCTCATTAGGCCTTCTTTCTCAGTGTTTAATTAGAAGATTCTAGTGTATATAATCTCACTGTAAATGGTGACCTTGGCGTTGAGATTTATAACCAGTCTTTGATTTCAGTTCCTGTGAAGTGTTAACAAATCAGGCTTCTCAAGCTACAGGCCTGAAATGGATCTTGAATAGTGAGAATATGATAAAGATAATGAATGCCACTAGAGTTTGGATGAATGATTCTGAATTTTTATTGACCTTTTTTTTTGGATGGCATTATTCTATCTGATAATACGTCCTTTTATATTTATCCTGTTATACTTGCTGTATAATTGAACCAGATGCCTACCTGGCCACTATTTTAGCTTATGCAATAAATTATTTTCTCGAATCTTATCTTTAAAGGACATTCTCCCCTTGGAAAGATCAGAACCTCTTCACACTTCAGTTTGCTATCAGAAACCCTATCACATAGCTTTCCCTAGCTATGAATACACTCTCTTCATTATAATCCCATGCATTGCTTTGAGCTGTTTAAATTGCTAATATAAAAAAAAAAAACTAAAAATTGCTAACATAGGAGACCTTTATTCCAGTTGCTTTTCTGTTTTTTGTTTGGAGCCAGGGTATCATGTAGCTGAAGCTGGCCTCAAACTTAATGTGTAGCTGATGATCATCCATAATCCCAGCATTTTGGAGGTCATAGGATTATACCACTTCTGTTGTTCTTAGGCATCGACATTAGTGAATAACCTTCCATTATGATGGACCTGATTTCCAGGGACCATCTTACTGTATACTTCTTCTTCCATGGGTAAGGAAAGAAGGACCTGCTAATGGTTTACAAAAGCCACAGGTATTCACTATATGCTAAATTATATATTCTATGGGACAATACAAAATAATGTTTGTGAGCATTCTTTTGGGCCTAGACAAGTACTGACCGATGAGTTTTCTGAATCCAGTTGCAAAAGGAAGAATTGAGAGGGTCTACATTCAACACCCCCACTCTGCACTTATATACTATGTTGTGATAGTACACAAGCTATCCAGTGGTCCTGTACCCCCTGACCCTTCTCTCATCATCACCACCAACCACCTCCACCATCTTCACTGTGCACCCTGTTGGTAAGGAAACACTGTCATTTTAGATGGCCAGTGCTAAGTCAAGTTCCGTTGCCTCACAAGAAAGCTGCTTATAGCACTGCAACCTGTGCTGCTCCCACTCAGGAAGGCACCATGATCACTGTGCACGGTGCAGCCTTCCCAGTGTAAAAGGGATCTGATGCTTTGACAGCCGAATTGGTGGGTATCAAATCTCTCTCATTATCTTTCCAAGGAACACAATGGGTTGCAGCTGGAAAGACACAAACTGACTTGAAGCCAAATCAAGCTGGCTTCAAACTGCTGGGGTTGGCTCCTAGGGAGGTGAGTTCTGTGCAGCTACAGGGCCCCGCTCCCCACTCGCCATATAATTGGATCTGAATTAGAACTTCACATTCATAAAAACTCTTCTGTCACTTTGTGTCAAGGACTTCTCTTTGACATGCCTGAAGTAGCCATTAAAAACTTAGCCTAAAGCAAGACCTTTTGAATACAGCTCAGTAATTTGGGTTCTGGAGCACCGTACCAGTCCACCACCAGCTTGCAAATGGACAAATTACTCAAAAGACATTTTCCACCCCTGAAATCTACTTCCAAGAAAGAATAGGAATTGCCCCATAACTCTAATGGAATCCATTTGCTACGAAACAAATTATTCAGGTCCGTGGAACTAGAAATGCCTTTTGCACAGAAAACTGAAAGGAAGAGACAGCAAAATAGCAGCTGAGGCCAGAGAGCCATCACCAACAAAACACGATTCAAATAAAAATGAAACCCTCACTGGAAAAAATTGGCTACCCTCACACCGTGCATCACGGCTGAGCTTAAAGTAGTTGTCAGTTTATGTGTAGAAGGGGGTAAAAAGCACACAATGTCTTTGTATGAATTTCATGTAAAACGAACTGTTTGTTCCTTGTTAGTAGCTTATGTAAATATCACAGGAAACAGCACTTTGGCTTCCAATAAAAAGAAAAGTAGAACTTTTCAAAATGCTCATACGTAAATCCTGACATCAAATTGCACGGATCTTAGGATGCTGGAGTTTGAGCACTAGGCTTGTTCTTTCTCGAAGAGCTGAGGTATAATTGTATGCAACCATCCTGTAGCTAGGAATTACATTAAGAACCCTGAACTATAAGTACTAAATCAAACTAAATCGCCGCTTATCCCACTTTCCCCCTTCATTCATGTCATTCCTTCCTGAAGTTCTCATTGGAACTGTACCTCTGCTCCCCATAACCCACAGGGTTCCCTCAGAACCTACCTCAGACTCACAGATAAATATTTCAATGAACAATAATGCCTTATTGGGTAGAAGAACTAAGTCGCTGCCTTTTCACAAATATTTAGCGTATTTTTCAAATCTGTTTTCAATGTCCCTTGAGAAAAAGAGAGCATGTTCTAGAAGAAAGGTTAATGGGAAAACATGAGCCACATCGTGACATTAAATACAGACTTCTTTTTCAAATCTAAAAACCACAGTCCTCCTTCATTCGGTTCTAAAGAAGACATAACATCCCTAGCTAATAGGCTGTCCACAAATGACCATTATTGAATAAATAATAAAGGAATAATAGTGACGCGATTTCCACTTACATCAACCACAAAAATCTTCTGGGAATCATCCAAAAACTGCACTTTTAAATGGAGCATCCTCAGCGAGGCCGTTGAGCTGCGAGCAGATTCAGAATGCTGTGGGTGCTGTGACAGGAAGGGGGCTTTCTCCAGGAATCTCACTCCCAGCTGGATGCTGAGCACTCGGGTCCCCCCACCCCCAGCCAGGCATCCCTACTTTCAGCGGGGGCCCACTTCTATTTGCTTGAAGTAAAGCACACCCAAGGGCGTTTGCACTGCTGAGTGCTGGGGATCAATAGCATCCGGGCAGCCTCCTCTTTGGTCCAAGTGAAATCCAACTGGACTTTAAATGCGCTGCCTTCCTACAAAGAAAAAGAAAACAGCGAGGAAACAGTTGTGATCCTCTTTTCTTCAAAAGAGCGATTTTGAAACACTTGATGAAACTTGGAGAAGCTGAGAATAGCCATTCTCAGAATCTAGAAGTTCCATGGCTGAGCTAAGAAGTCACATTAGCTCTGCCTTACACTTTAAGAATAATCTCTTGATTATTTTGAATTCACCTGATTTACAAGTGAAAACTGATATCTTTATCCTTAGAAATCATTTATCCATATATGTCCCATATGTGCTCTCAGTAGTTTTGAACGCCCACAACTTAGAAATGAAAACCATGCAGCCAAGAAAATACACAAAGCTTCCATTCTTCCCCTCCCTGCTTCATCCTATGCCACATACCCCTAGCAATCAAATTGATCCGTTTCCTTTTCTTACAATTGTTTTACATTCATTGTTTATGCAAATGCCATGCAAGCTAATCCAAATGTATTTCTCCTATGCAGACAGCAGGCTATTAAGCTGTTCGCTCCTCACCTTTCCTACCTCACAGTCCATAGATGTTCATCAGAGCTTCCTCCTTTCTTCACACAGTGGTGTTTTGTATTGTGTAGACCAACCACTGTGTACTCGATTGCTCTGAAATCCTTCTTTCTGCCGCAACAGTACTGAAATAAATATTGCCATTCATGTGACTGTAGGTCTGTCTCTCTAACAGATCTCCAGAAGTGGGATTGCTGATCAAAAGTAATACCAAGTTAATTTCGCTCATCATTTCTAGGTTTCTTTTCCTAAGGGCTGTTGATTGAATTCTCGCCCAAAACATCAATCATTCCAGAAATTTGGGAATGTAAGAGGTCACTAAATTCAAACAAGGTTATGGAGCTGAGTTGACTCAGAGCCAGAAACGAGAATAGATAATACATTAAGTATTTCAAGGCATGGGAAGAGGACATGGACACCTAGAAGCCTTGCAAAATCATCTCAGAAGTCCTGTAAACATCTTGAGCTCAGACTTCTACCTCTGATATTATGAGAAAAATGAATGTCTGTTATTTATGTCTCCAGGTTTGGGGTACTTCACTCTGGTGGTGCAGCAAATAATGTCGTGCTTGTATGATTTGCAGTCCGCTAAGCAATGGAAGACAGTGCTGTAGTTTTTACACAGTCCGGAAGGTGACAAGAAAAAAAATCTCAGTATAATCCTTAATGTCAATTAATTTACATTAAAATGTTTAGTACACATCAATTCCATTTAGGGGAGTGAACAACTTTAAAATAACTTCACTATCTTTTCTCCTCCACTTCTAGGAACATTTGTTTTTTAAGTTAAGGAATATGTGGCCTAGTTATAGAGTGCCTGTCTAACATATGTGAACATCTGGGTTTGATCCCTAGCACAGCAAAACAAATACATGAGAAAACAAATAAACTAGTAAGTGCATAAATAAATAAAATCACAAACATTTGTCATATGTCATTGGCATCAATTGCAAACATTTTCATTCATTTGTCCTCTGTTAATTTTGCTTATGTTGTGTGTTTCATGGGACATTTTTTATTGTGTGTCATTAAATTTCTCAATTATTTTAAAAATAGTCTCTGAATTTTATAGTGTGTGTGTGTGTGTGTGTGTGTGGGCGCACATGCCTATATGAGTGTATAAGAAACAGACAGAGAACTGTAGTGAAGATGTGGCAGTCAGAGGGCAAGTGGTAGGAGTCAGTTCTCTCTTTCCACCATGCAGATTCAGACTCTGGAGACCACATTTGGGTCATCAGGTTGGGTGACAATCATTGTGATACACAGAGACATTTTACTGGCCCCAGCCTCTGGACTGTGTATAATAGTTTAAATCACTTTCTTCGTCTCAAAGTTTGATTTTGGTAATTTCTTTGTTAGGGTTTTTATTGCTGCAACAAAACACCATGAACAAAAGACAAGTTGGGGAAGAAAGGGGTCTATTTGGTTTACGCTTCAACATTGCTGTTTATCACTGAAGGAAGTCAAAGACAGGAAGTCAAACAGGGTAGGATCCTGGAGGCAGGAGCTGATGCAGAGACCATGGAGGGGTGCTGCTTTCTGGCTTGCTTCCCATGGCTTGCTCAGCCCCCTTTTATGTAGACCCCAGGACCAGGAGCCCAGGGATGGGCCCTCCCCCATTGCTCACTAATTGAGAAAATGCCTTATGGCTGGATCTCACAGAGGCATTTCATCAGCTAAGACTCCTTCCTCTCTGACAACTCCAGCTTATGTCAAGCTGACATACAAAACCAGCCAGTATAGTAATTAAATGGTTTTCTTTTAACTTAAATCTTTGATCTATTTGGGCTTTGTCCTAATGTATGGTGTGAGGGGTTTATTCAACTTAATCTTTTCCCAAATGGATATCCAGTGTTTCAGACATTATTAATCCCAAGGTTTATTTCTACTTTTATTGACTTGGGAAGCTGTGTTTGGCAAATACAAAAATATGTACTTTGGTCTATTTGAAGCTTTTATTCATTTCTATCCATTCACAAATATCTCAGTTTAGTTTTTGATGCTCTAGATTATGTTTTAATATATAGTGAGGTTATGGCATGCTTCCTTACATTCTTTTACACAATTTTTCCATTTTATTCCTGTTTGCTTTTTTTTTTCCTTTACACCATATCCTCATCCAGTGTCAGGCAACAAATGCTGTGTATTATGTTAGAATTACAATTATGCTTAAGGATAATTGATACTTTTGTGATGCTGACTGGCAGGCTATGTTTTTCTATTTGTTCAGGCCTACTGTTTAACCGTGTGGTTTTTGTTGTATTTATTGATGTATTGTATAGGCACACATGTGGATCCCAGAGGACAAATTCCATCAGTCAGTTCTTTCCTCACACTATAGGTTTGGGAAATCAAACTCACATCACCATGTCTTTATCTACTGAGCCATCTTGCCAGCCTCTGGTTCAGGTCTTAGTTTATTTCCTTCTTTCCTAAAACCCTGTGTGTCTAATACATATTTTTATAAATAAAGAAGAGCAACGAATTAGTCTTCTCTAAGGATGTGCCCCCTTGGGATCCAGTACCAAGTAGTCAATCCTAAAAACACACACAACGCACAAGTAGGCAGACTCCACAGGTTTTTGTTATACATTTATTTATAAACATTGATTATTTTTAAGAAAAAGAGGACATGATTTGAGGACATACTTCGGGTTGTAAGGAGGAAGATGGAATATTATTTTAATTACAAATAAAATTTTAAAATATTTCTCATGTAGGCTTTACTATATATCATAATACTTTATCATCTCTTTGGTTGTTTTGTGAGATGGTGATCTTCTGATTAATAGCTCTTTACATATAAGAAAGGAATCCAATTTGCCTATTTATTTTCTATCTGGGGTTTGTAGTAGTTCTTCATTTGACTCATATTTTCAGGCATAATGCAATTCTATTATTTTAAGTAGAAATGTTTGATCTCTTCCTTTCTCAGTTTTGTAACACTTGCTTTTTCTTTTGTCTAATTGGTTTGGCCAATGTCCCTGTGAGATGTTAAACAATAATGACAATAGCAAGCCTCTTGTTTTCTTCTCTCCTAACTTGTGTGGGAAATCTCCCAGTGCTTCCTCAGTAAGTAAAACAGTGGCTTTGAAAAGTGGCATCTTCAAAAGTACATTGAGCTGGATTAGGCAAGAAGCCAAATGCACCACCCTTTGTCTATACTGAGCCAACTTCTTCTATGTCACTAAATAAATAGGCTGGTAAAATTAGACCAATGAAATGTCCTCTGATGGACAAGAGTGCATACCTCTGTTAATATTTTGACAGCTCACAGCACAGTCTCCACAACAACTGCCAGCGGCAAGGCAGCTGCAAGGCTGATAGCAAGAGCAGTAGCTCTGGTGACTGCAAAGTCTATTTTGTATCTTAACCAGCAAAGTCACCTGGTCACTTGAGCTCCCCGAGCCACAGAGGTCCCTAATGCTACACTAAAGAGGTGATTCCATGCATATGTTTGTCAAGAGCACTTATGGAGATGAGTGCAAAGACATACTCCAGTGGTTGCATGCAACAGGCAATTCAAGAAATGTTCACTGAGGTGGGCAGTGGTGGTGCACGCCTTTAATCCCAGCACTAGGGAGGCAGAGGCAAGCAGATCTCCGTGAGTTCGAGGCCAGCCTGGTCTACAGAGTGAGTTCCAGGAAATGCTCGAAAACAATACAGAGAAACCCTGTCTCAAAAAACCATAAACAAATAAATAAATTAAAGAAAGAAAGAAATGTTCGCTGAAGAGGTGAATGCCAAGAAAATAAATATCATTGACACAGAATCTTTTGCGGCTGAAGTTTAAATGATCAGTAAAGAGTTATTTACCTCTTTCTCTCTCTCTCTCTCTCTCTCTCTCTCTCTCTCTCTCTCTCTCTCTCTCTCTCTCTCTCTCTCTTTTCCACCTAGACTTTATCCCTTTGGTTTTTACTGTCAAATTTTCGGGAATAAACCGTGATCCAAAACAGGAAGGCCTTCTAAAGAAAACTCACTTCTGTTTTAGAGTAAAAGTCCAAAGTTGAGCTCAGCCTTGGAAACATGAGCCCGTCTGTCCTCGGTTAGTCTCTGCATGTGCAGAGAGGTGGAGAGGGAGAGCTGGGCAGGCAGCCAGGAGAGGAGCGCAGGAGAGAGACTATTCCATTCCCGCCTTAGCAAATCGGTTAGATTTAATCTGTCAGCATAGAGTTTATGATTATTATTTCAAAAGAAACGAGATGTCAACAACAACAACAACAAAGCACCACACAACCGATTTCTAACCTAGTGGTCTGCCATGCTTCTTGAAAAACTGAAGTTAAGAACTGTAGCCAAAGTCGTGCCACTTCTTGGCGTCTCATCATTAGACCCTTATTCCTGTGGATTAAGGTCTGTTACTAGTAGGATTCCATGTTTAGGTGCCAGGGTTCTTGAAAGCATTCGGTCTTACTGCTTATGTATGCATTTAACAGAATGCCCCGAGTTTAAAGAAGTGTTAGCACGCATTCTGTTGTCCACCGCA